TCATGCAGTTTGTCTGTGCCTTTTCCTCCGTGTTGTCATGGTTTTCTGTGCTGCCTCCTAGTCGCCACCATGGTTTGCTGTGCTGCCTGGGGATGCTCCAATCGCTCAGAGAAAGGAGTATGAATGTACAGCTTCCCCACTGACACAGAGCGGAAAACATGTCTGGCTCAAGTCAGCAGGAGCAATTTCACGACCAACAGCAAAAACATATGTGATGTAATTATATACAAACACTGCATTTGCACTTTTTCACAAAACGAAAACCACACCATTGGGAAAGCTTAATGTTTTGTTTAATACAAAAAACAGGGAAAGGCTTGAAAAACACTGAGAGTTGAGACTCAGGGTGCAGGGTGAGGGTCTCAGTGCAGGTATTCAGGCTCCATTGAATCCCCCTCTGGTTCTTGTGCTGAAAGAGGGAGTAACAGACAGGAGAAAGGGTTATACACACATATATAGCACACCTATTGGATGGGAAATTGCCTTGGGGAGATAAGGTGTTTACTTATATAATACAGTGATATAATACATGTTTAGTATGCTTACTTATATAAAACAGTAGTATTAAACTTACCTTGTGTGTTCACTCTCACTTAAGTCCCTCTCCCTTTGCCATCAATCCAAAATCAGCTGAGCTGCAACATTATACAGACAGGTAATAATCAACATAATCACAAGGACACAATATGGCTCTGCTAAAAACACTCACTCTTACACGCACCAAAGTTATATTTATCTAATATTTAACTCCCTCCACCCCCGCATACAATCCCGTTTAGAAGCCCCTCTTCTCTAATTCAACAACGTTGGACGAAATGACATTAAGAGAACGGAATTTACAATTAAAAGGCTGTTCAACGTGTGTTGCTAACTTGCTTCGGTATCCTAGCTTAATCTGTTATCTGTAAACGTTCCCTAAATCTACTAATTTAGGGATAATCCACTGACATCCTTTAATACACATGTTAATTTGAATTAATGGGGTGGACCAAAATAAAACATCGGTGCCACATCCAGCAACACCAGACAGGCAGCTTTATTTCATGTCCCACGGGACATGAAATAAAGCTGCCTGTCTGGTGTTGCTGGATGTGGCAACACCAGGTGTGGCATCTGGTGTTGCTGGATGTGGCAGGTCTTCATAATTCCTGAGGATGTTGTTAACAGAGAGAACCTCCCCTCTAACGAGGTTTCTGTGGTCCCCATTAATGACTTATTGACCTTTCAGGAAGGGATGGCCTTAAAAATAGCTCCCCATCTTTCAGCTGCAGCCATCGAGCCAAGTCACTTTGATAAGATGAAGGTTGGTCTTGCTCTAAATGTGTTCAGTAAGGCTACAAGTGCTGGGCTGAAATACATGGTGCAGCAAGAAAACCGCCCTCTGTCCTACCTGACGACAGCGTGGTTCCTGGAGCAGGTTGATCGTTGGTTTTAATCTGATGTCATCTCGCCATCCAATTACAGCCCTGAGCAGGCTCAAGATGGAGGAGTACCAAAAGGCCATCACCTTCCTCCAGAACATCGTCCATCTGTTTCGTGGGATAAAGATAGGTCAAAAGGGAGGTTGGAAGCCTGTTCAAACAGGGGTGATAATGGCAACAACATCAATTTTGGCCATACAAGAGGAGATGCTTACACAAGGACACAGGTTTGTGTTAACGTCAAGGTTCACACAAGACTGCCTTGAAAATACATTCAGCTGTGTGAGGTCTAAAAATCCTGTCCCAACTCCAGTGGAATTCCATCATGCACTGAGAATCATATCTGTGGGGCAGTTCCTCACCACCATCAGCTCTGGGAGCTACCGGGAAGACCACAATAGCTTTTTGGCAGACTTCCTGGACACAGGGGAGCCAAAAATCACTCCATCAGTCAGAGTGGAACAGCTGATGGCGGTGAACAGAGCAGCAGCACCTGACCTCACAAAAACTGAGAAATGTATTCTCTTCCATCTTGCAGGCTACATCGTCCACAAAATCATCAAGTTTGCCAGCATCTGTGAAAAATGCAAAATTGCAACAGAGCACCATGATGAGAGTCCTTCTGGTGACAACAGCTTATTAGTGGACTTGAAAGACTTCAAGGCAGGTGCTCTTTGTCGTCCCTCCCAAGAAGCCTTTGACTTCATTCACCAAATTGAGGAACTATTTAGGACCAAGACTGGTTCCTCCCTCATGCAGCTCCCCAACGCAGTGGGTGTCTTGGAGAAAGAAGCTCAGGCCCTCTCCAGCAGGCTTCCGTCATGCTGTGGAGTACAACAACAACTCGTAAAAAGATTCATACGGCTGAGGCTGAGAATTGAGGCAAAACAAATCAGAAATGACAGAAAATAAAAAAAATTAAAAGATGCCCATTTTGGAAGCAAGAGCCAATCCAAAAAGGTGAAAAGGAACAACAGCAGCCAAGCTACCACATCCAGCAACCCCCAAACAGATCCACAGCTGCAATCATTTCCATTAGTCGTTGCAATGGAAATATTTGGACTAAACATTGATCTTCCACCTGCCAGCACCCAGCTAACATCACTGCCCCTCCACCCGTAACATCACTGCCCCTCCACCCGTAACATCACTGCCCTCCACCTGCCAGCACCCAGCTAACATCACTGCCCCTCCACCCGTAACATCACTGCCCCTCCACCCGTAACATCACTGCCCCTCCACCTGCCAACATCACTGCCCCTCCACTCGTAACATCACTGCCCCTCCACCCGTAACATCACTGCCCCTCCACCCGTAACATCACTGCCCTCCACCTGCCAGCACCCAGCTAACATCACTGCCCCTCCACCCGTAACATCACTGCCCCTCCACCTGTAACATCACTGCCCTCCACCTGCCACCACCCAGCTAACATCACTGCCCCTCCACCCGTAACATCACTGCCCCTCCACCTGCCAACATCACTGCCCCTCCACTCGTAACATCACTGCCCCTCCACCCGTAACATCACTGCCCCTCCACCTGCCAACATCACTGCCCCTCCACCTGCCAACATCACTGCCCTCCACCTGCCAGCACCCAGCCAGAGGAGCGCAAACAACAAAAACAAGCAAGGTGTCCCGTCATGTACCTGGAAGTTTGGGTTGGCAAAATGGAGTAAGAGAGGGACTTGAAAAACCTTGGTGGCTCTCTACTCATGTTGTTACAGTTGTCTTGGTTACAGCTCTCAAGTTTTTTTTTTGTTGCCATTTCCACATCTTTAGAAAATATGAAATAAAAAATTGAAGTGAAATCAACCTCTTCTCTGGAGAACAAACTTCGATTTCTCTGTCTTGTGAGTTTGCAGTCTTGCAGTTTTGCTCCTCCACCTGTAACATCACTGCCCCTCCACCTGCCATACAGTAGGTTACTAACAAGATTACTTATATAATACAGTGATAGAATACATGTTTAGTATGCTTACTTATATAAAACAGTAGTATTAAACTTACCTTGTGTGTTCACTCTCACTTAAGTCCCTCTCCCTTTGCCATCAATCCAAAATCAGCTGAGCTGCAACATATACAGGCAGGTAATAATCAACATAATCACAAGGACACAATATGGCTCTGCTAAAAACACTCACTCTTACACGCACCAAAGTTATATTTATCTAATATTTAACTCCCTCCACCCCCGCATACAATCCCGTTTAGAAGCCCCTCTTCTCTAATTCAACAACGTTGGACGAAATAGACATTAAGAGAACGGAATTTACAATTAAAAGGCTGTTCAACGTGTGTTGCTAACTTGCTTCGGTATCCTAGCTTGATCTGTTATCTGTACACGTTCCCTAAATCTACTAATTTAGGGATAATCCACTGACATCCTTTAATACACATGTTAATTTGAATCAGATGTACTGATAATATCCGCAATATAAATCTTTAAACTTCTTCTTACCTTTAAAAGTCCGTCACGAACGGTCTATTATGCTGCAACTCCACAGCTCTGCTAGCCTTGGCGCTAACTTCCGGGGAACGATTGAGAGGCTCCACGATCCGCCATTGCTGTAAAAAAGTGGTCCATTGGAGTGAACGGAGATGTTATAACTCTCAGTCTATATGGCGCTGGGTAACAGGGTTGAACGCATGTTGAGGGACACACCTTCTGTGCAAAATTACTGTTATTTAAAATATGTTTATGATTTAACAAATTGATTTTTACCATTACAAGAGACATTTTAAATGTTATATTTGACATGCAAGTTGGTCAACAAGAAGCGGGGACAAGAGAAAAATGCCATTTTAGCGGATGTTCGAGAGCTATTCGATCATTTAAATAATATTTTGAAACCACTTTTTCTACAACTTTATATACATTTTGTCTCAAGATAAGTATGTTTAACACAACAAGTGCATGTTTTAGCATTTTGGGCATGGATTATTAGATTTTTTAAATGTCCTCCAATTCTGGAATGACCCATCCACCCTAACCCTAACCCTAACCCAGCAACTGTGTTCATTGACTGAACATAAAGACGAGACTGTTATGTGATTGTGATGTGCTATAGGTGACGTGTAACGTGTGTTGTTTGCATTTTATTGTTCTCTTTTAGCCTTTCGCCTGTATCTACTTCATCCTTTCTTTTTAACTAATGCTGTTGATGTATTGTGATTTTAAAAAGGTGTCTATTATCATCTGGCAGGGGACAACAGCTGGAAATTAGCATGTTGGCTAAAGCTGCCCCATTTACTGTTCTTTGTGACAATTGATTAATGAGGACTGTCCACGACACTATAAACAAATAAACTAAACACTTGTGGAAAACTAAAAGCTGACAAAAGCCACTTGTAGGCAGATTTGAAGGAGATTGTATTTGTAAAATGTTATTATGCAAGGATGTTCAAAGATCTGTTTCTCTGAGTATAAATGGAGGACGACCCTTCCTCTCGTTATATCAGTCTGTCTCATCCATGCATTTGTTTTCACGAGGGTTCTCCTGATATTGTGGCCAAGTCTTCCTGTTATCCAGTTATTTGTTTGCACTGGCTGATAATCCTGGATGTATTTTAACAGGTGTAAGCTGTTGACGTACGCAGAGGACCTTCCTCAGATCTCCGTGGTCTTCATCTTCGTGAACGAGGCTCTGTCAGTGATCCTGCGCTCCGTGCACAGCGTGGTCAACCACACACCGGCTCACGTGCTCAAAGAGATCATCCTGGTGGACGACAACAGTGACAGCGGTAAGACCTTTCACAGCTCTATTAATATGATGAATTAATAATGGGCTTCTGAACAATATGCAGAGGTGGGAAGTAGTGGAGTACAAATACTTCGTTACTGTACTTAAATACATGTTTCTTGTATCAGTACTTTACTCCACTACTTATTTTTCTGACGACTTATTACTTTGACTTCTTACATTTTGAACCCAAATACCTGAACTTTCTACTTCTTACATGTTGAACACAAATACCTGTACTTTCTACTTCTTACATGTAGAACACAAATACCTGTACTTCCTACTTCTTACATGTTGAACTCAAATACCTGTACTTTCTACTTCTTACATGTAGAACACAAATACCTGTACTTTCTACTTCTTACATGTAGAACACAAATACCTGTACTTTCTACTTCTCACATGTTGAACACAAATACCTGTACTTTCTACTTCTTACATGTTGAACTCAAATACCTGTACTTTCTACTTCTTACATGTTGAACTCAAATACCTGTACTTTCTACTTCTTACATGTAGAACACAAATACCTGTACTTCCTACTTCTTACATGTTGAACACAAATACCTGTACTTTCTACTTCTTACATGTAGAACACAAATACCTGTACTTTCTACTTCTTACATGTAGAACACAAATACCTGTACTTTCTACTTCTTACATGTAGAACACAAATACCTGTACTTTCTACTTCTCACATGTTGAACACAAATACCTGTACTTTCTACTTCTTACATGTTGAACTCAAATACCTGTACTTTCTACTTCTTACATGTTGAACTCAAATACCTGTACTTTCTACTTCTTACATGTTGAACTCAAATACCTGTACTTTCTACTTCTTACATGTTGAACTCAAATACCTGTACTTTCTACTTCTTACATGTTGAACACAAATACCTGTACTTTCTACTTCTTACATGTTGAACTCAAATACCTGTACTTTCTACTTCTTACATGTTGAACACAAATACCTGTACTTTCTACTTCTTACATGTTGAACTCAAATACCTGTACTTTCTACTTCTCACATGTTGAACTCAAATACCTGTACTTTCTACTTCTTACATGTTGAACTCAAATACCTGTACTTTCTACTTCTCTCATTTTCCAAACAGCTGGTTCCTTTAGTCTGAATGTGTGTTTGATGCGTGATCATTATTCTTTAGAGTCATTGCGTGCCTATTGATTTGAACACGATCCGTGTATCCATCATTTCCTGGTCTTCTCTAAAGAAGAGGGACCAATGAAAACGTTGTCATGTTGCCGTTGTTCAGCATGGAAACATTCATTAGCTAACAACGACATTATTGTTCTATTAATATAAAGGGAGGTCAGGTACTCTTTAAAACAGCTGCTAGTTATGGGTACTTTTTACTGAAGTACATTTCAAAGCCTCTTTACTTTTACTCGAGTAAAGAAGTTTAGTCAGTACTTCTACTTTCACCAGAGTATTTTTAAACACGAGTATCTGTACTTCTACTTGAGTAAAGGATGTGTGTACTTTTGCCATCTCTGGCAATATGTAGCTTGTGTTTGACCCCTGTGGTCCTCTGTGGGATATTGATGGTAGTCACTGAGATTCTGCCAGTTTCAAAGGAGGTTTGATCCAATATCTGTACAGGTAATAATAAATAATAAAGCTTTATATTTATACAGCACTTTTCATACGGCACGTGCAGCTCAAAGTGCTTTACAAAATGTCACACATCACAAGTTAAAAATAAACCACAAGAACTCCCCCTCAGTTCAGATGTTAAGACCTTTACAGATACATGCAGCATAGCAACCAAATATAACATTTCAACAGGTTTGGAGACACAAGGAGGTTAAAGGTATGATGATACAAATAAAATAAATAATGATTCCTCACAAGACACAAGATTAAGAGAATCGATTCAACAATATACAACCCTATAAAAGAAAGTAAACATATATGTACAACACAAATTAAAATGTGTCATAATTCTAAAAAAGGTTAAACGCTTAAAATATTAAAAGACCAATTTTAAAAAGGAAATGTTGAGATTAAAACTGTTAGAAGTTAAAACCCTTTAAGACCTATAAAATAAATAAAACCATTTAAAAGTAGGTCAATAATAAAGACTAAAAGACCATTTAAAAGGGGGAGGTGTCGCTAATAAATAGCTAATTTAAAAATATGTGTATTTAGCTGTCGTTTAGTGTATCCTCTCCGAATTTAAATCCTGAAACCTGTGGAGTCTCTCTGTGTCTAACGCTGTCTGTTACTCAGAAGAGACAGTCACTATTTATTATTATATCATTCCTGGTGGAACATGTGCGTCAAACACAAATGGGTTAGAGTTGTCGTTTTTGTTACGCTATTGTTTCCAATGCATGTTGTTGGTGTGTGTGACTCAGTTTCTCATTGTGTGTTGGTTTGTGAGTAACAGTTGAAGGGATGGAGAGAAACCCCTGAGGGCGGATGACTCGTGAACACTGGGCTTTCACATAGCTTAAACAACAAGAGGAGATAGAAAGGGATGGGATTTGTCTGGTCCTCTTTTCAGAACTGCTGCGTAAACTACAGTCTCCATGGTGATGTGGGCTTTATTTTTGCCTCCACACCATGATGCCCACAGCAGCTGACAACGCTCGGCTCCATATCCTAAAAGCTTTCCAGTTTTCAGAGCGAGGGACAATGAACTACATTTCAGACGACACTTGGCCCTCCTTCACTTGGCACGGAGGAACAGGGCTGCCTCCCTCAGGCTGGAGAGGAGAAAAGGGCGCAGGAATAACATACTGAAAGAAGAAGAAGTGCAGGAATAACATACTGAAAGAAGAAGAAGTGCAGGAATAACATACTGAAAGAAGAAGAAGTGCAGGAATAACATACTGAAAGAAGAAGAACCACCACTGGCACATCTCCACTCTACACTGAGGCTCTAACAGAACAGACTCTGATAAAAGCCAGTGTATAAATGGACGCCAAACCTTCCTCTCATTATAGTAGACGGTCTCTTCCATGCAAGGGTTCTCCTGAAATAAGTTTTTGAAGGGCAATCCTATTCTCACTATTTTCCAGACTCAAAGGTTTTAATGTGTCATAGGCAAGGCAAGGCAAGGCAAGGCAAGGCAAGGCAAGGCAAGGCAAGGCAAGGCAAGGCAAGGCAAGGCAAGGCAAGGCAAGGCAAGGCAAGGCAAGGCAAGGCAAGGCAAGGCAAGGCAAGGCAAGGCAAGGCAAGGCAAGGCAAGGCAAGGCAAGGCAAGGCAAGGCAGGCAGGCAAGGCAAGGCAAGGCAAGGCAAGGCAAGGCAAGGCAGGCAAGGCAAGCAAGCAGGCAAGGCAAGGCAAGGCAAGGCAAGGCAAGGCAAGGCAAGGCAAGGCAAGGCAAGGCAAGGCAAGGCAAGGCAAGGCAACAAGGCAAGGCAAGGCAAGGCAAGGCAAGCAGCAAGCAAGGCAGGCAAGGCAAGGCAAGGCAAGGCAAGGCAAGGCAAGGCAGGCAAGGCAAGGCAAGGCAGGCAAGCAAGGCAAGGCAGGCAAGGCAAGGCAAGGCAAGGCAAGGCAAGGCAAGGCAAGGCAAGGCAAGGCAAGGCAAGGAAGGCAAGGCAAGGCAAGGCAAGCAAGGCAGGCAAGGCAAGGCAAGGCAAGGCAGGCAAGGCAAGGCAAGGAGCAAGGCAAGGCACGCAAGGCAAGGCAAGGCAAGCAGGCAAAGGCAAGGCAAGGCAAGGCAAGGCAAGGCAAGGCAAGGCAAGGCAAGGCAAGGCAAGGCAAGGCAAGGCATATAGCACTTTTCAACACAAGGCAATTCAAAGTGCTTTACAAAAATTAAATACATTAAGAAAATGGCATTTAGAAACAGTCATTAAAAAGCAAAGGCGTGTTTGCTTTGTAGCCGCGACACATTTCCTTAGCTGGGTACGCCGCTGACATTTATTGTTGGCTGAGAGGTTTATTCCCAGCGCTCTGAACTAAAGTCACATTCCCAGTGATGGGCTTTGTGTGTGTGTGTGTGTGTGTGTGTGTGTGTGTGTGTGTGTGTGTGTGTGTGTGTGTGTGTGTGTGTGTGTGGCCTAGCATTACTATACTTGTGGGGACCTACATCTGTTTAGTTACATAGTCACGTGTGGGGACTCGCCTCCCTTATGGGGACAAATTGGAGGTCATGGAGGAATCATTAATTTTAGGGTGAAGACTTGGTTAGGATTAGGGTTAGGGTTAGGCATGTGTTGGTTATGGTTAAGGTTAGGATAAGTCTCCAGGAAATGCATGTAAGTCAATGTCATGTCCCCTGAAGTGATGTATACATGGTGTGTGTGTGTGTGTGTGTGTGTGTGTGTGTGTGTGTGTGTGTGTGTGTGTGTGTGTGTGTGTGTGTGTGTGTGTGTGTGTGTGTGTCAAGACAATTCATCGTTGTTTGCTATGTTAGCACAAAGAAAAGGCTTAATGAGCCCTACAAGATTGAATTCCAGCAAATACCAGCACCAAATTGATAACTTAATGATTCATATAATGAAAACAGGATATAAACTGAGGAGCGGTTGAATACAGCTCGTAGTGATAATTTCAAGTGGAGCTGAATTACTTTAAACATTGCATACAATTAAATGGGATTAAGTGAAAAGAGTGGCTCGTTAATATACTGCATGATATCTATTTTGTTACACACACAGTTTTTATTCACTACAATGAACTTAATTTGCTTTAATTAAGCTCAATTGTTTTTGGGAAATGTACTTTCCATTAACCCTTAGATGCCGAGTGACTGAACTCTACTCTTCCATAAGTGGGTCAAAAAGGACCCGTATTAGAATAATATGTGTTTTTATGCCATTTTTGTCATTTTGGTTAAGAAAAATCACTTGTATATTATATTTTGGTTCACACTAGTTAATTTTTCACTATTTATAATTTTAGACATTTTTTTTACATTTTGAAAAAAAAACGAAATTCCATAGAAAATGCATGCGGATCATTTTTGACCCACTTATGGAAGCTTGGGGTAGAAATACAAAAACTACAATTTCTTAAAATGTAT